TTTGATCAAAGGGACCTAATTCAAAGCTTAGTCCATTATGACTCCCTCAAATGAAAATTGTTATCACTAAGTAAGGTTCAAGTCCAAAAGACACATATACCTATTGCACTGTATTATGTTGCCACTATTATATATTTTTAATTATTCTGAAAGCTTAAAACTTGTGGGGGATTGTTGAAAATTATATTAAGTATCAACTTTCAAAATTATTATATTTTAATTTTCAGTTTTGGGTTTAATTAAAATCTTAATTTATAATATAACATAAAATTAAACATTTAAATGGAGGTTACGAATTGATTAATTCTCATTAGTGTGGGGGTTTAAATTGTACACTATATAAAGGGAGGAAAATCACAATATTGAGATATAAGTAAAAAAACCCACTTGAAACACTATTCTTTCTACAATTTTATATTATACTTTTGGCATCTTGTGAAAGGCTCGTTCAATTATCTCCCTATGGTCGTATCCATTGAAAGAGAGCCACCTGTGTTTTATTTTGTAGCCGTGCAGTGCCGAAAGAACCCACACGAAGGGGAGGCAACATAACTTTAGGACAGCATCCTCGACGTAACTCTCAAGGATTGATTTTCTAACCTTCTTCTTGTTTTATATTATTGTTGAATTTATGTTTACGTCTAATTGGTTATATTATTATGCTAATTGATAAATTTATCTACACACAAATCACTAATTTTTCCCAACATATTTTTATTTAAATCTATCTCAGCTATTCTTATTTATTGTGACACTAATATTTTGTGAAAGTATTTAGAAGTATTTGCAGACATGGAAAAATTCAAAGAAATACTACACGACTCCAAGATAAAATTCATGTGGCTCTCCTTCTATGGGAACGACTATAGGGAGATAATTGAACGAGCCTTTCACGAGATGCCAAAAGTATAATATAAAATTGTAGAAAGAATAGTGTTTCAAGTGGGATTTTTAATTGTATTTCAAATTATGATTTTCATATTGTATCCTCCCTTTTTGTAGTGTACAATTTAAACCCCCACACTAATGAGAATTAATCAATTCATAACCTCCGTTTAAATATTTAATTTTATGTTATATTATGAATTAAGATTTTAATTAAACCCAAAACTGAAAATTAAAATATAATAATTTTGAAAGTTGAAACTTAATATAATTTCCAAAACCTTCTTAAATTTTCAGTTTTAATATAAAGTTAAAAATCTTAATTATGGAGTGTAACTTACCTTTTAAATGCATTAACTATGGGTGGTAGGACATAAGCCATCATGTTCATAGGTTAATTATAAAAATTGAATGTAGGACATATATATATATACACACACACACACACACTGCCCATTTTCCCTTCTGATTAAAAGGGAAAAATATTAAGGATGCATGTATTTGAATAAATTGAAATCTACTTACTCGAGTAATTTTTCTGCTGAGAAATTTTAGTAGGAAGGACGCCTTTAAAGTCTTATACACTTGACACTCATGATTAAGTGATAAGGGCATATATGAGAATAAGGTTAAATGTTAAGTTCGTGGAAGCACTGATTTTTTTAAGGTGCCGAGAAGGGCAAAACACTAGTATCTGTATTTTATTTGCTATAAAGCAGGTGTTCTATGTATGTAAACCACAATTAGAAAAAAAATTTCGGAAAATTGGGTGATTTGTATGTAAATTTATTTAGAAATTAACATAATCATATAATCAATTAGACGTAAACATAATTCAACAATAATATAAAATAATAATAGGGTTAGAAAATCAAGTCTTGAGAGTCACATCGACGACGCTGTCCTAAAGTCGTGTTGCCTCCCCTTCGTGTGGGTTCTTTCGGCACTACACGACTCCAAGATAAAATCCATGTGGCTCTCATTCTATGGGCACGACCATAGGGAGATAAAGAACAAGCCTTTACTAGTTGCCGAAATAGTATAGGGTAAAATTATAGAGAATAATTTTGGAATCAATCATTTTAAGTTGTGTTTTTCTAATTGTATCTCAAATTGTGATTTTCCTCCCTTTATATAGTGTACAATTTAAACCCCCGCACTAATGAGAATTAATCAATTCATAACCTCCATTTAAATGTTTAATTTTATGTTATATTATAAATTAAGATTTTAATTAAACCTAAAATTGGAAATTAAAATATAATAATTTTGAAAGTTGGAACTTAATATAATTTCCAACTCCCAGCACCCCAAACTTTTCCGCGTCCCTAGTAGCCTAATGGGCTAGTTCATTTCACTACGGGGATCATTGCATTGACTACTTCTATTTTCTTTATTGTTATAGCCGTGATCATACCTATAGTCAAGGGCGGAGCAAGAAAATGATGTTAGAATGGACTGAAACTTAATTTTTTTTTAATGAACTTACGCAACAAGAAATCGGTTTCGGAGGCTATTCTTGTGGTATTCACAATAAAAAGTATACGAGACTCAATAAAAAAAAAAAGTTTAGATGTCTCAGATTAATATATTTTACTAAATATTTGTATTTTTTTTTTACCAAACGCTTACTTTTAAAAAATATAAATTAACTGAATCATGATAGAAATAAACAAATGAAAATTTTAAAAAATACTGAATAAGTACTCTTCTAATAACTTTTACAACCAGTCTTTCCGTACAACTGAAACTTGATTGAAACATGCAATCAATAATATATCACTATAATCCATATGTTATTGTCTCAAAAAGTTATTTGGCGTTTTCATCGATCTTCTATATCATTGCATTTCAAAGTGAGTGAAGAATCTCAATCAAGATAAGAAAAGCCAACTAAGAATTTCGAGGGTTAAAGAAATTAAATTTAATTCACGTCCATTTTCTGCTCGATTTCAAGAATATACTCGTATCTATATTACTTCATAAATAGATAAATTTTATCAAATATTCTTTTATTGTCAATATCAAATCTATAGTAAGTTATTTATTTTAATCATAATATCTATTTTATGGTCAAAATAAGTAATTTTTTAAAAATAAATATGAATAAATAATAAATAAAAACAAAAGCAGAAATAAAAAATAATAATTACTTTTAAATTTTGAAAAATATGTAGTGTCTCTAACTATTAAAATAAGTAATTTACTTTTAAATTTAATCAATACAAATTATCTACAATAAAATTTATTTAATAATTATAAGTAAATTTTAGTCAAATATACATTAAATAGAATATCTAATTTGACAATAAAATATTCACATTTTATGAATTTCATGAAATGAGTAATTAATAATTAGTGTTTTTATATAATTTAAATAATTGAACATTAGACTTGGGTTGAGATTCAAGCTAGAGTTGGATTAATGGTAATATTTGGGCCAAAACTCTACACTTTCTTCTTAATTTTTTTATATGGGTTGGGGAGTAGTGGGCTAATGCTAACATTTGGGTAAAAACTCTACACTTTCTTCTTAATTTTTTATATGGGCTGGGGAGTAGTGTTGGGCTACAGCCTAGCATGCCCCCCCCCCACTACCTCCGCCCATGCCTATAGTAGCAAGTTGTTGTAGTATGACCTATCTTGCCACACACACGACAATGTCCTCGTTGTTCTTGCCATCTGCTTCAATCTCTTCCTGAAAAACCTTTTGAGGATCTGCCTCATAACTTGATTCGCTCCTTTGGTCAATCCTACTCTCTTTGGTAATCAAAATTTCTTCAACTTGAGACCAACTAATAGTTCCTTTTGATGAGTGATCAATGACAATACACTGACATAATGGCGACCCAAGCATGCAAGACCAACTTTAATTAAAGCTTGTACAACATTATGAGTAAAACAAACAGGCAGATGCTATATGTACCAAATCATTTACCAAATAGATGATTGAATTGATAAGTGTCGCACTCTTTGGAGGGGTGCCACTTGTCAATTCGGTCAAAAATTATGTAAGACATTTGGTACAAATAGATTAATTTAAACAAAAATTCTAATGCTTCTTCACACCATTGAGTTTGAAATCTTACAACCACTAAAGTTGTTCATCTATACCATGGTGATTATATAAATGCAATTCATTTGTCTCCACCTGTAATTTTTTTTTAATCTTAAATTAAGTTATTGATGATCATCACTTGACTAAAAATTATCTTAACTAGTTAATGGTCAAATTTGACTTGTTCCATTAAACCTTGACATGGACTAGTGAGCATCATGTCCTTAACAAAATATGGTTCTCAGAAGAAAATTATTTACATTCTGTCAAGAAAAAAATAAAATAAAATCCAAATTGCTCTCCTAACCGTAACCATGTTTTTCGCTACTAATTAATAGTAAAAAAGTTCAGAGAACGGTGAAATTGGAGGCCAGCGGTCATTAATCAAATGACCACAGCTTCGAATATGGCGTTTATCAAGCTAACATAGAGACTAATTATGTATCATTATTCAAATTTGAAAAATATTATCTAACATCAATGTCAGCATATCATAAGTCAAATGGACCATAATTTCTTGTGCTGAATTGAATGTGTTATTTCATGCCACTCATGTTACCACCTAATCTGGTCTTAAAAACTAGTAATAGCATTACTCTTTAATTTAAGTAGTTGAGGGCGAGATAAAAAAGGAAAAAATTGCAGTGGAGATTCCAAACATTTCATTTTGCTGTACACCTAAATCTTTCATTTTTGTAGATGTTGTCCCTAACTTTTCACTTCGATTGTAGACGGAGCCCATTGAATATAATTCATCAATTAATCCGTTACTCAACCTTAATTTGACCATTTTACCCTCACTTATTTTGTGAATTTGAGTCAAACTTTTAATTTCAGGGTTGACTAATTGATTAATGTACAACTTTGTCCAATGGACTCCAGTTGCAATTAAAATGCAAGATTTGGGACTGCGAACGGCAAAAATGAAAGATTTAGATGTAGTCTGTGGCAAAATAAATCATTTGAAACCTCTTTTGCAATTTTCCCAAAAAAAAAAATAATAATAATAAAATTAAGCAACTTGAAAATAGTGACCACTCCTACCTGCCCGATATAACTGACGAGTGACGACTTTGAATTTTGGAATTGGAGTCGTCATGAAAGCGGCGGCAGCCAACAAACACTATAACACCCAAAAATGGGACGGAGTTTCCAGTGGCTGTACGCTGGTACGAATACAGATTAAACTTCCAAACGAACCCAGAATTTGATGAATTCCTCTTCTACTATTCATTCATTTTGATTTATCATTGCAGTTTCCAATAAAATGATTCACCAATGTATTTTCAAGCTCCCATTCTCTCCTCCCCCTTCTTTGTCCACCATTAGAACCAATTCTACAATCCGCTGTGAATCGCCCGCCACCAGCAATGACATAGCAGTGAAAAGAGACCCACCTTACCCGGGTGGGGTGGGTCTGCATACTGGTAGAGACCCGAATGTCAAGAAGCCTGGGTGGCTGAGGCAAAGGGCGCCGCAAGGGGAGAAGTACGAGGAGGTGAAGGAATCCCTGTCCAGGCTCAAACTCAATACTGTGTGTGAAGAAGCGCAGTGTCCAAACATTGGAGAGTGCTGGAATGGCGGTGGGGATGGAATTGCTACTGCAACGATCATGCTGCTCGGAGATACCTGCACGAGAGGATGTAGATTTTGTGCTGTCAAGACGAGTAGGAATCCGGCTCCTCCCGATCCTATGGAGCCTTACAACACTGCCAAGGCCATTGCTAGTTGGGGGTATAAAATTCTCTTGCTATTGAATTTTTACTGGACTCGTTATTTACTTTCTCCTTTTACTATCAAGGTAACTAGTTAGTTAAGCCAATATTACGTTAAAGGCTTGAAAATTTATCTCAATTTGGTTGTGGGATTGTATTGTTAAGATGAAATATACTAGAATGGGATCATAGATGAATTGTAGGATGAGTGATATATCTTGAATTGAAATGGAAGTGTAAACAAAGGCGTGTTTCCAATAATTTGTAAAACGGCAAGTGAGATGCTAGGAACTTCTTTTGGTTTGTCATTAACGTAGAGAGACAATACTGGCATCTATGTTTATCTTGCATAAAATGGCTAAGAAGTACCAATACTTGTAAACTCGCTACGTATCCGTATCCGATACGTACGGATACATTTTTTTATTGTTTTATATATTTTTATACTTTTAAAATTTTCGATACATATCCTTTATTTATTTTATATATTTGTATGATCTTTGATACATATCCGATATGTTATTTTTAAATCATTTTAATAACTTATTGAATATCAATAATATTTATTGAAAATACACAATTAGAGTTTCAAAATTAAAAACTAGACTTTTATTGGAAATGCAAATTATTATTAATCTTTCAATACATGTGAAACCGTGTTATAGTTGACAAATATTTTTATTACTGGAAATAGATAGTGACTAGTATTAAATAATACATGTAAAATTGAGTTACATTCATTCTATTATTGAAAATAGATAATGATTTAATATATGTAAAACCGTGCTAATAAGTTGCTTTAATATTTTATTTTACTTTTATTATTATGTTTCTGTATTATTATTTTTTTTTTTATATTGATGAAATTATGTTGAATTTTATAAAACATATTAACGTATCCTAATTTTTTCAAAAAAGTCGTATTAACGTATCCGGTATCGTATCTGAATTACGTATACATATCTGTACTTCTTAGGTTAGTGGAGCATCTCAGTTTGACACGATATACAGGTTTCGAGGTAGATGTATTATCATCTCTTGTTACTGAGGAGATCCCATCAGTTATCCTTAAGTATTGGTGCACGGTGTATTAAGCACATCTGTGTACCTATTGCCAAGTATGTTTGAATATAAATTCCTCTTTAAAAAACTACAATAAACTAGGGACATATATTTGTTCATGCATACTGAACGCTTTAACACAGATTGTATCCAAAACTCTTCTTGAGGATTATTGATTGAAAAATTGAGAGTATAAATACAAGTTCTTTTTTTTACTGCGAGAAGCAAAGCAGGATTAGAATCATTTAAATATTTTTTTACCAAAATGGTTTTTTATCAGGATTTTCACTTTTTGCACCTTTTTACTTGTCTATTATTATTAATGTCTCCGGTTTCTGATTCTTACAATGCGTCTAGATGCCCCTTCTTCTTTTACCTAATTTTCTATTTGTCAACATTACGAAGAGAAGGTATCATAATGTTCCAAAGCCTAGTTTTCTTTATGAAGATTTCTTCACCAATATGCTTGTACAATTAATCTGGAAAAAAAAAAAAAAAAAACTATTTTCTACAGTTGAATTCAACACTCTAAAATTAAAATGAGAAGCCACAATGCTCGAAAGTTAGGTTAATGTTTGTACATTGGATTGGCATTTACGATAGTGAATGATATTGAATAAGATTAGGGAGATCGTCGAAGATTACCACTATATTTTTATTAAATTGTATTATATATAGATAGATTGCTTTTACCATATTTAATTTGATTTTGGTCCTATATAATAAAAGACCTCTCACATTGAGGGGCATTGAGTCTTATTAAGTATATTCAACATGGTATCAGAGCTAGTTCTTTAGAATTTTCTCTCGTTTTCTTGGTTGGATTTTGTCGCGGCGAGAAGAACACAAAAAAAGCTCTTCCCGTCCAGTCTTCTTGGTAAATTGTTATAGCATCAACATAGAGAGGGTAAGGGATTTCAAGATTCTTCAACAATATTCCCTAACTTGTACTCGACCAATGATAGATTGTTATCTCCTTTGACCACAAATTTTGTGGGTTCCGTAATGTTTATGGACCTACTTATCAACAGCTTTGTGACTCTTAGTCATGGATTGGCATGGAGATCTTGCTATACAATTAACAAATTCAAATCCCTATTGGATGACATACAAATTTCATTAGCCGTGTCAATTAATAACAGGGGGTCTGGACAAGTTAGTATTAGTATCAACAGCACCGAACAGGTTCAGATAGCTTTGATTAGCCTAATTCCTCTGGCTAAAAAGTTTCTTGGTTATTCTCAGCCGTGCAGTATGTATAATGATGAAAATTGAGTCATCCATATGTAGTTTTCGTTGGATCTTCCAAGTTTCTTTTTTGGTGGCCATTCTTTGTGGATAAGCAACAAACATGGTAGTAGGTTTTTGAAACATGGTTTACGGGCTGTTGGTACTTTGGGCTTTCTTTTTTTGGTTGTGGGCTAGGGTATTGGTGTATATAAGCCGGATTAATGGATGGGTTGAATTGTTAGGATAATTGTTGGGCAAGGTGTATGTATTGGTTGTTGTTGGTTGGTTGCATTGTCCATTTCATCCAGTGGATCAACCTCGTTTTGAACTTGTTAATTGGGCTGGGCATATTAGGCAGCCCCTTTAGCTAGTTAGTGGGCTAATTTTTGTTGGAATGTTGGATGTGATTGTTATTATTATTATTTCGGAAATTATTGTTAACAAAAAAAAAAAATGTTTCATTGTAGTTGTGAAAATGTTCCTTATTGTGGTTTTGGTTTTCGGATAATGAGCTAGAGTTTTCAATTCTCGGAGGAGGATCATCTTTGAGTTTTTGGTGTAAACTGTTCGGTGGGATTTCTTTCAACTGTAGCATCTTGGCCAGCGATATATTATTGAATTTTTGACTGGTGCATTAGCCGTTAGAATTTTTGTTGGAACATGAATTTTGTG